CTTTAATTCCAGTACTCGGGAGGCAGAGGCAGGCGGATCTCTGTGAGTTCGAGGCCAGCCTGGTCTACAGAGTGAGTTCCAGGATAGCCAGGGCTACACAGGAGCAGTAAGAAAGTACTCGGAGCTTGCTTATGAGCGCTGAGCTACAACCCTGGCTGCATCTGCCTCTGCTGTTCTTGCCCACTTAGTGTCTGGCTCCACAATTCTGAAGCTCTGGAGGGCCGAGAATCACATGGGGTCATTTCAGTACCACCTCAGAGCTCTGCTACTACAGTTCTGATGCAGCTGCTCTGAGATGGGGACAAGGAATCTACATTTTGCATAAACATACCAACTGATTTTACAGCACACGGGTCAGAGACAATACTGGAGGAACAAACATTGCCATTCTGTATCTCACTGTGTTTTGCTGTGGACTAAGATACATTTGTATGAGGCTCTTTTTTTAGAGTAAATGTTTCCTTACCTAAATAAAGCAAGGAATGCTTATTAGAAAAAGATGTAAGTGTGGTGGAACTAGAGACAATTCACAGAGAAGCACCCTCTCCAAGCACATCACAGGGCACACACAGTTCCTGTGTTTAGGCCCCGACAGCCCGAACCTTGTGAACCTCCTGCTTCAGCCTCCCATGTGCTCTGAGGACAGCAGTGCACAGCCAGGCCAATTCATACATGTGCTTTTGGACTTCCTTGGCTTATTTTTAAGTTATTTCATTATTTCTTTATGTGTATAGGTTTGGTTTTTTTTCTGCAAGTATTTGTACCATATGCATGCCTGGGGCGTTGCAGAGGACAGAAGAGGGCTTTTAAAAAACGTGGGTTTTTGTTTTGTTTTGCTTTTGGTGTTTTGCTTGCATGTATGTCTGTGCATCACATGTATGCCTGGTGCCCACAGAGACCAGAAAGGGCATCGGACCCCCTGGAATTGGAGTTACAGACAGTTGTCAGCTACCATGTGGGTGCTGGGATCCTCTGGAAGAGCAGCCAGTGCTGTTAACCACTGAGCCATCTCTCCAGCCCCATAATGTTAACATCTTATGTAATAGAAGTTATAAATCCAGAAAGCTATTAACTCATCTACAAATCTTCAAATTTCCCCACTTTCCCCACTAATAGCCTTCTTACTCAAATTTCATATGACATTCCCCCTCCAAGCTTGTATAATACAATTTTTTGAACATACAGAAAAGTTTAAGGAATTCTGTATTGGTAAACAGAACATCACCTGGAATCTACATTAACACACACAAGTTAGGTGTATACACATTCCTTTAATCCCAGAACCTGGGAGGCAGAGGCAGGCAGATCTCTGTGAGTTCAGGCTAGCCTGGTCTACAGAGCGAGTTCCAGGATAGCCAGAACTACATACTCTGCCTTGGAAGCAAGCAAGCAAGCAAGCAAGCAAGCAAGCAACAAACAATATGATACAACCCAGCTTGGTGGTATACCTCTGTAATCCCAGCACTTGGGAGGTGGAGGCAGAGGATCAGGAGTTCAAGGCTACAGAGTAAGCTAAAGACCAACCTGGGCTATATCAGACTTATCTGGGGGGGGGGGGGACAGGACAAAGTATGTTTGTTACTGTGTGCTCTGTCCCTTAGAGTATACTGGTCTTTAATAGATTAGTTAAATAATTCTTTTTTTTTTTTAAATTAATTTATTTATTATGTATACAGTGTTCTGCTTGCGTATATCCCTTCAGGCCAGAAGAGGGAGCCAGATCTCATTACAGATGGTTGTGAGCCACCATGTGGTTGCTGGGAGTTGAACTCAGGACCTCTGGAAGAACAGCCAGTGCTCTTAACCTCTGAGCCATCTCTCCAGCCCCTAGTTAAATAATCTTTAAAAATAATGGTCCATTTTTATTTGATGCCTAATTTTCCTCTGCTTTCTCTACTTCCAATCCCTTGGCTATGGATGCCCAGAGCTTCCCAGGACTACTTTTTGACTGATGATGCTTTAGAATGTTTCAGTGGAGAACAGTTTAGTCTCCACTTGAAAACTGTGATGTAAATATGGATTGCCTATTAAACCAGCCATGTCCCTGAGACAGACTACCACGCCTACTGCAGACCAGAATACTGTGTTCTGAACCAAATGCAATAAACTCCCTTTGCACTTATTTTCTGCCAGTCTTAACAGCAGTTTAGGAGGATGTAGTCACAAAACCAACAAGATGCAAAAACTTCCTTTTCACTCAAAACCATCAAGGTGACCCCAAGTGTCACAGGATGACTTTAAACAAAAACACTGTTTGGATTTAGCAGCTATCTAAGACATTCACGCAAGAAAGCACTCTCTATTGTCCACTTTCTACCCTGCAGGGTCTCCTGGAAGTAAGCACGCAGGACCAATGTCACAGCTATATGACATCACACCTAATGCTAATTTTCTAAAATGTTTAATTAAGCAATTATCCAATTAAGCAATTCTCTGTTAACATAATAGGTAACAAGAATGTGAAAACATCCTATCTCAGAGCAAGGCAAACAAAATCATGCACATCTTGCTTAATGACATCCAGGGGAGGTTTCTCTTTCTTCTTAGGCTCTGGGTTTTGACTTAGCACAGCTATGGGAACTGCTTATGACAAACAAAACCCTGATTCCAGGTCCCTGTGAGAAGACACCTCCCCCTCAGCAGACTGAAACACTACCCAGTTGTACTGCGATTCTAAGATTGCCCTGCAGGAGACAGGTTACTTTAGTTACAAAGGCTTCTTGACTAAGACCAACTAATTTTAGGTGGAGATAAAATGCGGAAAGCAGACACAGTCATCTCTTCCTTCCAGTGATTGGTAAATCATGACTAATGGTCAGAAGCACTTCTTTCAGACAAGCTACCCTTCCTCCACACACACTTCCTGACTCTCCTAGTAACACAGCTCACAAACAAAAATCTACTTTCAAAGAGGCAATTCTGAAATGCCTGACATTGTACATGAAGCATATGCTTAGAGAGGCAAATACCAGGGCCAGCTGAGATAGGATTTTAAACAAGTACACACACACACACGAAGATATCCTGAAGTTCCTAGGATATAAATCTCATCTCTGGCTGTAGGAAAGAGAAGTACTATGAAAATCAGAAATAATTAATTCTGTAAGTCAATTATGTGTCGGATCCCAGCTACTGTTGCTGGCCTGTGCCTCTGGAGATGCAGCCATCGGAAGAAAGCCATTACTAAATCATTAACTATGAGACTGCATTTTCTCTAGCTGGTCCTGAAATAAAGATATCCTGTAGTGGGTAGCCATTCCAGCTTTGATCTGGAAGTTCCAACCCCCACTGAGGCTTCAGTAACTGTCATGCCTACAAGGCGGGGCCGAGAGAGGACCCTGAAGACCCGAGATCTGGATGTGCCCGGCTCTTGGTTCCTGGACCCTGGACCAGAAGGTAGACGGAGCAGAGTTCTCCAGAGAACACCGCTGGACTGTACCACACCTTTCCCAGGCCCTGTAGCCTATCCCTTCACTTGTAAGTTACCCCACAAAATAAACCTCCCTTTTAACTACGTGGAGTGGCCTTAATAATTTCACTTAAAATAAAAAAGTCACAGTGTATGTCTCCTAGTTTTACTTTCCAAGTTATTAAAATAAAGATGTGGTGGAACTGATAAACATCTACTCTGAAGCTAATTTAACAAGGTGTTATTGGCTTCATCTTGTCCTGCAAAGCTCCTGAGTCTTTTGAAAGTCCTGACTGCCCTTCAGACATCCCCCAAGAACAATGAACAGCCAAGGTTAAATCAACCGGCTGAATTATTTTCTTTGGCTTTTTTTCTTTTTCTTTTTCTTTTTAAGGTTTATTTATTATATATACAGTGTTCTGTCTGCATGCCAGAAGAGGGCGCCAGATATCATTACAGATGGTTGTGAGCCACCATGTGGTTGCTGGGAATTGAACTCAGGACCTCTGGAAGAGCAGCCAGTGCTCTTAACCACTGAGCCATCTCTCCAGCCCTGTTGTTTTTTTTCAAAATAGGGTTTCTCTATGTAGCCCTGGCTATGTAGTGCTGAAATTCGCTATGTAGGCCAAGCTGGCCTTGAACTCACAGAGATCCATCTACCCCTGCCTCCCAAGTGCTAGGATCAAAGGCGTGTGCCGCTGCCGCCGCCGCCGCCGCCGCTGCCGCCGCCGCCGCCGCCGCCACCACCACCAGGCTTTTCTTTGGTTTTTATAAAAGTCTAAGATGGTTTAAGTCATGTACACTGAAACCTAGTAGCTACAGTCGTATATTCTAGATGGTCAAAGTCAGAGACAAAAATTCAGACCTCACACTATATAAAGTTCAGGACACATGGGCTTCTCCCTCACCCTGGGGTCTATCCTCTTCTTTCCTGAGCACTCTGGATTTCTTTGTATTCATCACCGCTCAAGCCACCCTTATGAGTCCCCCCAACTCCTTGAGCCATATCCTTCAATACCACCAACTCTGATTGAGTAAGGACTTATTCCTTGCAGGCCATTAGGGTCCTGGGCTTTAGCTGGGCATGATGGCTCATGCCTGTAATCTCAGTACTTCAGAAACAGTTTGAGAGTAGCCTGATCTGATTAGGAGACCTTGTCTCAACAGACAGACAGACAAAGGGCTATGCTCCAAATGTAAGCAAGGTGCAAAGCAAAGACAGTACAACAGGTAACTTTTTAAGAAGCAATTCATGGGCCAGCAAGATGGCTCTGTGGGTGAAGGCACTCGATGCCAAGCCTGACAGCTGGCGTTCCATCTCAAGTACCCGCCCAAATGGGGAGAGGAAACCAACTCCTGGGAGCTGCCCTCTGACCTCCATGGGAGTGTTGTAGCACGTGGACCCCCATCTCACCACACACACCACAAACACACATAAAAAAGTCCCCAGTAAGTAAATGGAATAAAAAGAAGTAATTCATAGCACTTATTTCCCAGCGTCAGTAGTAGAGCTTTACTTGATCATTTCCAGCCTGGCCATTGGCACAAAGGCTCTTTTATGCTGGGTAACAATCTGTGAAAACACACAGCGGTGCTCGCTCCGGCAGCACACAGACTAAAATCGGAACGGTACAGAGAAGAGCGCCATGGCCCCTGCGCAAGGATGACACACAAATCCGTGAAGAGTTCCATATTACACACACACACACACACACACACACACACACACACACACACACACACACAGCTCCTAATTAAGCAGAAGTCAAAAGTTCAGCAAGAGGATTAATTGACTGGCCTCTAGTAAACTATGAAAAGGAGGTGATTTACAGTAGATTAACCTCTACCTTCTGGACCAAGTGATCAAGATTGATCGGTAGTGGGTCAGGAATACTGTGTACCTTTGAAGTAATGTAATAAGAAGGACATCGCGGCATTCTTCAAAATCTGCGACCCTGCAGGTATGGTGGCGCACACCTTTAGTGCTGGTGCTCTGGAGGCTGAGGAGGCCTGATCTCTGTGAGTTCAAGGCCACCTTGGTCTACATAGTGAAACCCTATCTAAAAAAAAAAAAATTAAAATAAAAAACCTGTAACCTTGAAACAGTTCACAGGAAAACAAGATCTACCAGTAGAAGGTGTGTGTAGACAAGTTGCTTTAGCTTACCAAGCCTCCATTTCCTTAAGAATAAAACATATAGTGAGAAGTTACCTGATAATTTATGGGATTAAAGTTTGTATTAATCAAGAAGGGGCCAACGAGAAGGCTCAGTGGGTAAAGTCATCAGATGCCAAACCTGATGACCCAGGACCCACAGGGAAGGAGAGCACTCCCGAAGGCAGTCCTCTCACATCTTCTTGCATATGTAATGAATGGTGTGCACACAAAGTAAATGAATACATTTATTTTAAAATTATAAAAAACCAGCTGGGCGGGGGTTGTGCACGCCTTTAATCCCAGCACTTCGAAGGCAGAGGCAGGTGGATCTCTGTGAGTTCGAGGCCAGGACAAGCACCAAAACTACACAGAGAAACCCTGTTTCAAAAAAACCAAAAAAAAAAAAAAGCTGGATGGGGGTTGTGCACGCCTTTTAATCCCAGCACTTCGAAGGCAGAGGCAGGTGGATCTCTGTGAGTTCGAGGCCAGGACAAGCACCAAAACTACACAGAGAAACTCTGTCTCAAAAAAACCAAAACCAAACCAAAACAAAACAAACAAAAAAAACCACTTAAGTTTTCCCAATTGGATGTAACTGGGAGTGGAGGGTAATGTCTGCTAATTGATGTCAGATGAGGAAAAACATAATCTTAGTTTGCAGTATACACTATTTGCTGTGCTTTTTTCATACAGTGAACAACAACTTTGCTGTAAAGTAAACAAAAATTCACAAATATATATATATTCTTTCTTTCTTTTCCAAGACAGGTTTTCTCTGGGTAGCCTTGGCTGTCCTGGAACTTGTTCTGTAGACCAGGCTGGCCTCTGACTCAGAGATCTGCCTGTCTCTGCCTCCCAAGTGCTGGGATTAAAGGCGTGCGCCACCACTGCCTGCCTCACAAAAATATTAAGGGGCTGGAGAGATGGCTTATCAGTTAAGAGTGCTTGCTGCTCTTGCAGAGAACCAGGGTTCAGTCCCCAGCACCAGCATGGTGGCTCCCATCTGCCTGTAACTCCAGTCCCAGAGGGTCGACACCCTCTTCAGGCTTCAACAGTCTCTTGCACACAAGTAATGCACTTAAACTTACACAGGCAAACACAGGCACACAAGAACAAATTAATTAATCTTTAAAGATTATAGTAAGTAGAACACATGGCTCAGTACAGTTAATTCATATATTAGTTCTGCCCTCTAAGGAAAAAAGTGTATGACTAATTTCTGTATAATCAGAGCTCCTATTTCATTGGCCTATGGACAGGCAGGCCTGAGCTAGAGAATGAAGTAAGGAAGTCCCTTAGGGTGCTGTTTAAATGTTACCTGTTAGACTTTTTGGCCCAGAAGACTTAGCTTTTATAGCCTTTAGTAGAACTGTCTTATTAAAATTTACTGTATCTGCTGGGCAGTGGTGGTGGCACACACCTTTAATCCCAGCACTTGGGAGGCAGAGGCAGGGAGATCTCACTGAGTTCAAGGCCAGCCTGGTCTACAAAGTTAGTTCCAGGACAGCCAGGACTGTTTCACAGAGAAAATCTTTCTTTAAAAAAAGAAAGAGAAAAAGAAAAATTGCTGGGTGTGGTGGTATATATAATCCCAGCATTCAGAAGGCAGAAGCAGAGAGATCACAAGTTCAAAGTCTGAGAGGCACCCAAAAAAAAGAAAAAGAAAAAAAAGGCAGAAAAATTAACCACAATTTTCTTTGAAATGTAACACCAATAAGCAGTTTCCCGTAAGGGACCACAACGGCACCAGGAAATGGGTGAGAGTGTACTCGTTTCAGATGTTTCAGAGACATTTCGAGGAAATTCCTACCCCCAGATGTTTCAGAGCTTGTCTGCTGAACTCCACAGCAGCTCTCTGCCTCAGCAGCTCTTCCCAGGCAGAGCGACGCACACTTGTGTAAGAGTGTCTACGCTTGAGTTAGTTTCCACCTTCCCCTGTGCACCACAGCTGTGTGTGTGTGTGTGTGTGTGTGTGTGTGTGTGTGTGTGTGTGTGACAGTGTAAGCTTTAGGGAAAACCCGCTTCGAGCTCACTTCTGTCCCACCGTGTGATGAGATTAGCACACACAGAAACATGCTGGAGGAATGACTGTGTTAGTGACAGATCTTCAGAAGAGTACAGTACGTGCCCAGTGTGACACACTAAACTGTGAACACTTGCCTCTCAGACTCAAGGGCACATGTGCACAATTAACACTCACAAAATAACTGAAGTGAGGAAGGGTTACCAGGCAGTGTTGTTTGTTTTTTGTGACAAGGTCTTGCTATGCAGCCTGGCTGGCCTCAAACTCACTCCATAGACCAAATTAGTCTTGAACTTGGAGCAATCCTCCCACCTCTGCCTCTTCAGTTCTGAGTGTGCCACAGTACTGGACCTGTGGAACAATATTTATTGAGTTTATTTGGTACTTAACATTTAAGCTAAGTGATTTAAAAGTCCAAGTGTGACACCAGAAGTCAGAAGATCGGGACCTGGCCTCTGTTCTCTCACTGACTTGATAGAGGACACTCCAGACAAGCCACTATACATGTCTCTGGACATGTGTCCCCATCTGCACAACAAAATTTACAGTCCTGTCTATCTTACAGGGAGACTGAGATCAAGTGAAAAATGCTGTGAGAGGTGTGTCACAGAAATAGAGGCTCTCATCAGTGACCAACGGTGATGACTCAGAACGCCTGCTTTTTTGTTTTTTCTCTTTCATAATGCCACTCTGAGGGTGCCTGCACACATGTGCAAATACACACACATACACACACACTTAAAAATATCAAAAAACAAATCTTAAAAGAATATGCAAATGAAATAAAGGCAATTAAATAAAATATAAGCAATTAAATATTCCTTATCTATAAATCCAGAGTACTTGGAGTAAATGCAATTAGAATGTCCTTTACTTTGCTGTAATCTGGAGAGACTACAGGTTTTCCCCAAAATGTTGGAGTTTAGCCTCTGGGGCTGAGAAGCAAATTTCCAACAGAGATATAAATTCCAACACCTGTCAAGTGTCAGGCCTTGAATCCCAGCACTCAGGAGTTTGAGGCAGGCAGAGCTCTGTGAGTCCAGGTTAGCCAGGACTACATTGTAAGAGACTATTTCAAAAGAGAGAGAGGAAAGGTACTGTCTTAGTTGGGATTCCTAGTACTGTGATAAAACCATGACCAAAAGAACTTGGAGAGGAAAGGTTTATTTCATCTCACAACTGTCAGATTGAGGGAAGTCATGTGGTGGGGCATTTTCTCAATCGAGGTTCTACTCCTGAGATAACTCCAGCTTGTGTCAAGTAAGGAACAAACAAAAACTAAAACCAAGATTTCCAAACTCTCAACACCCCTGAGTCACCCTTCCCGCCTGTCCCCCAGGCACTGGCAGCCCTGGGTCTGTTTCCTATCCTCATAGTTTGGCTCTCTGCAGATGACAAAACACATTCCTTCCAATGTTTAAATACAACAGCCAAAGGCCCCATTTGCTAGGCACAGAGCACTGTACATTAAGCTGCCAGGGGTACATTAGGAGAAGCAGGAGAGCCAGCGCCTAATGGGTGAGAAGGCAGAGAATTCCCTACAGCCTAGGACAGCTCTGCAGGCCCCACTGAAAGCAGGAATCTTTCAGTGAGATGTGAAGCCACCAGAAGTCCAAAGACAAAAGTCTTCACGGGTTGTCTTATACAGATAGTCTGGTGTCTTCTTCCATGGTGGTACACTTGACATGGTTAAATTTCCTGTCCTTTTAGATGAACTTTGGCACCAAAAAATCAACCACAAATGTGGTGTGCATCCATAATCCTAGTCCTAGGGAGGTTAAGGCAAATCAGCAGATGAAGATAAGCCTTAATTACAAGCGATCCTTTCTTCAAAAAAAAAAAAAACTTGAACATCAAACATCAATTACTGTAACTAACTACAAGTTAATGAAGATTAAGTTCCTATTTATTTATTTATTTATTTTTGAGCAGGGTCTCTCTACATAGCCTTGGCTGTCCTAGAACTTACTCTGTAGACCAGGCTGGCCTCGAACTCACAAAGATCCACCTGCCTCAGCCTCCTTAGTCCTAGGGTTAAAGGCACGCACCACACCCAGCCTCAGAATAAATTCCTGCTACCCTGGAAGCCTGAGTTTCTGTGGAGCACTCTCCCCTGTGAGGTTTGGTGTGATGCTACCCTGCCTTATTTTGCGGCTAGTGAAATACTGAGTCCTCTCACCACACTCTGCACAGCTGGGCAAGCACCAATGGCAGCTCAGAAAGCATGACAACGTGGAAGAGGGATGGAGAAGCAGCTGTGACAAGACCCAACAGGGTGAACCGCTCGTCACTTTCAATTAGTAACATTGTAACAGAAAATGACACTGCCGCTATTAAACATTTTAAGCAGAATCTTTTAGAAAGCAACTCCTTGTCCTGTAGTTTGGAAGCCTGAACTATATTGTTTATTCAATTCCCCAATGAAGGCAACAAACTACTTATGTATAGTTTACATTTTAAACTAGATGTATGTGGGGTTAACTCTCATTCCTGAAGTGTAGCTTGGAGAGCTGGTGGA